GAGAGAGAGAGAGAGAGAGAGAGAGAGAGAGAGAGAGAGGGGAGAGACCTGATGGGGCGGTGCGGTGTCTGATATCAATGGAACCGGCGCGAGATTCGGCAACCGCGTACGCGGGGCGGGCGCACGACCGGGCGGCGAGAGCTACCCTCGCGCCGCCGCTCACCGATCCCATTCTCATCCCACTCAAGTCGTGCGGCGCCCAACACCGCCCACGCGGGGTGGAGCAGATTCCCATCCGCCCTGAAGCAGCAATCGTCCTGCTCTCGTCGCCGCGGCCGCCACCCACAAGCCCATCCTCCTGGGGTTTTAGGGTTTGAAACCTAAACAGCCCCTACAGCATCCCGGTCGTCCGCGCCCACTCCGGATTCTTCCCGGATAGAGTCCGAGTCCGAGTCCGAGTCCGATAGGGCACTAGTGCAGGAGATCAGCAAAATGTTAATTGCTTTTATTACTAATAGATAAAATATGTAAGGGCATATATGTGATTTTATAACCGGGCGATGGTTAATATGCAAACCTTCTTTATCAATAAAAGAACATTATTTTACGCTGTAATTATAGCTATAAGATAATATATTTCAGTTGTCCGTAATCATCAATTACTGTAATTTCGATAAGTGTTATATTAATATAAACTTTTAACTGGTTAGTGATGATTATATAAGTGTTATATAGGTTATCAAGGGAGGCCTCAATATACTGCGTATTTTCTTATAGCTATAATCGAAGAAAATACAATCAAACAAAAAGTCAAAGAATAATTTAACTGAAAAATGGTGGCACCGACACTTCTTCTTCTTCTTCCATCGACTGTCTCTACTGTTTGATCTTGGTTTCTTTGGGAAAGCATATTTATGATCCTAATTAACCTGATAGCTTAAGCGTTTAGATTGCAACACTGCTGATTTCCACACACATAATTTCCTGGATTTCTTGGTACAATTCACATCATGTGTGATTAATCTGGATAGAAAGCAAAGAACAAGGAGGAGTGGATGGTCACAAGATGAACAACTTCTGAAACAACACACACATTATACTGAGGTGCTTCCGACACACATTATTATTCCAAGCATTAGAGGCAGAAGAAAGAAATAAAGTTCTCCAGGATCATAGGTATCTCTCCTCAACTCTTGCAGTAGTACTGGGCTTGGCACCCGCGGGTGTATGCATTTCCACGTTGGGGAGCCTGCAAGGGCACCCTATCCTTCTGCAGAGCTCCATAGCTTATGGAGGTCTGTAGAGACTGGAGGATCCTCCTTCCTATCTCTGATCCCATTGACCACTCCTCCGCATCATGCATCTGCCCAATGGTGCCATTGAGTTGACGTAAGTGAGCTTCCTCCACATCTCTACCACCAGCAGCAGCAGAAACTAGAAGCAGGAGTACTGCGGCGCACAAGCAATGAACTCTCCCCAGTTCGGTTGCCATCGCCCAAACCGCTCCCTCTATCACCTTGCTTGCAGGAGCCAGAGGTGATCTCAAAGTCCTAAGATCAGGCACTCTATTTGTGTGTAGCAATGAGGGCAACGGATCACCAAACTCTTCGCATGAGCACCAGGAACCCGCTTGTTTCATAAAAGGAGAAAGCAATAGATCACCAAACTCTTCACATGAGCAGCAAGTACCAACTTGTTTCACAAAAGCAAAAAGGTAGAGATGCGCAGTTCTCCAATGACTGACATACAACTTTGTCTTGTGCTTTGGCTGACGGTGAGACCCCAGTCGTGGATGTGAAGTTAGGGACATGGAAGGAGGTCCACCATGTCATGTGAAGTAGGAAAACAAGACGTCCACTATGATGGCCCTCAAACATGACCAGCATTCGCGTGTCTGCTTTGATGAGCAACTGCACATACCATTGGCACCATCTAGGCCTTGTGTCTATGCGCCTTCCTCCTGAGACCACGTCGCTCGGCAGTTGACAGCAATCGGATGCAAAGCATTGCAGTGTTTTGTAGGCAATACCAAGACTTGCAGCATGAAGAGTTGGTGATGAAGAAGAAGTATGGAGGTGTATAGACAAAAGAGGAGAGCGTAGATGGCAACAAAATGAAGGCATTTTTTGTATCACCATCGTTCTTCGGTGATTCTATGGGCGATGTGATGGAAAAATCCATGAGCCTAAATAGGGGGAAAAGGGAGTCTACTGAATCATGGCCTTCAGGTCCATCATTCCATCAATCCCAATCATAGCTCATCAATGATATAAATGCTCATATTAGTCCTGTAGTTAGGATTTCTTGTCCAAAAAGATAATTAGATCATCCACACATGTTCTGTTTATTGTTTGGGTTGTCTATAATTAGTTTATTATATTTATTTTTTTGGGAATGATAGTACTATTTATGTTAGATTTGATTGGTGCATACATAATAATCTAACGCAATATTTCATTTTTTTTATTCAGGTTTATGATCGACATTAATAATGTTCTCTGATACATACAGTCAGTCGAAAAAGAACAATTGAGTTTCATGAATCGAAACGTTTATGTTTTCCACGCAGAGAAGCGAAACAACAAACACAGGAAAAAGATAAGCAAGCCAAATGATAACATCATCAAGTCATACAAGCAAAGTAGGTTCTGCGACGACACATCGATCATGAGACTCCTATGGAAACGAAGAGACTTAAAAGGATCACTATCTGCAATAATGAGACTTCGTACACCCACGGGTGTAAGCCCCCCCCTTGGCAGACTTGGCCGCCGGTCGGCCGGCATTCAAGGCACCGTAGACTATGTGCTGGGCCGTCGCCATCTCTGGATCCAACCACCCAGTGCCGCCAGCGACGCCGTCGAACAAGGTGGTGTTAGATGGCTGGACATAACCCACATCCATAGTACCTGCAGCAGCAGCAGAGAGTAGAATGAGGAGGGTCACGCACAAGAAGCAGTGGACTCTTACCATCTCAGTAGCTCCCATTGCCTTCACCTACGCTATGGAAACATGCGACTCTATTTATTCCCGAGGACTGAAAGCAACAGACCACCGAAACTCTGCATGCATGGTTCATGATCGACATCTTGACAGGGAAGCATGTCTCACTGTATTATTGAGGGAGAACGAAAGCAACATATCACCAAACACAATCATTGGAGGATTAATTTATGGGGTGAATCAAGAAACTGCATCTTGTATAAATTGATGGTGTAAGAACTTTTAGAAGGATTACATCTGATCCAATTAAATTCAAGAAAATTAAGATCGATAAACAACAGCAATTGCCACAGAAGGAGCAGTGATAGAAACCCAAAAAAAAGAATGTAAACATCCTTTAAAAGGAATGAAAAACAATGCTTTAGAAATATCATATATCTTTAGTTAAGAAAATAGTTTTTCCAGTGTGTAA